TTCCCTCTCTCGCTGTGTCTCTGTCTCTGTCAAATAAATAAATAAATAAAATCTTAAAAAAAAAAAAAAAGGAAAAAGTGAGGGGGTGGAGTGAGAAGGCATAGGGCGGGAAATAGAAATCAGGGTTGTGGACAGAGACAGGGAGCCGTCGGTGCGGGGACTGGCAGACAAGGATGCAGTGGGTGGGACGCCCAGGAGCAGAGTTCGGGATGGCTGGGGGCTCACAGCAGCAGAGCAGGGTGACCAGGTTGGGTGTGCAGGGCGTGGGTGTCTCACCTCCATAGCGCCAATGACCGTGGTCATCCCCTGCATCAATGAGAAGGATGAAAAGCTGATCTTTAAGCCTAGTCCCTCCCCAGCAGCCAGAAAGAGGTGGGTCTCCCTCACTAGTAGGGGTTCTCCAACTCAGATACCTTACAGGGGCATAGCAGGTAACCGAAATGCCTAACGTGACCAGGTATAAAGCACAACAGATTACAACCAAACATAACACCATAGCTTAGTAGACCAAAGATCCTACCGGCCCCAGAGATAATCAGTTTGCAACTGCTATCTTAGTCTGTAAAGTGGGTGGGGGCCTCAGTCCCCAGACCCAAATCAATACACCCTCTTCCCTTTCTCCTTGTCTCCAACTCCCTTCCCAAGGTTCCTTGTTTCTGAGTCAAATTATTAGGTTCCCCTACTTGCTATTCCTTCTTCCTAGATCTCAGTTTCTTCATCTGTAGACTGAAGATGAGGTGATCTCTACAAGCCCTTCTGGCTCGGCTACCCAACCCCCCCCCCGCCATCTTTCCTCTTTTCTTCCCTCATATTCTTACTTCTCTCCACCTATGTCCTCTCTTTCCACATCTTTCTCCTCTCCAACCTCCTCCTTTTTTCTTTCTCATCTCTTCCTGCTCACCTCTCTCCATCTGTGCTTTTTTGTCTCCGCATTCATCCCCTCCGAGGTCTGATGGGGGGCGGGGGGGGGGAGGGTCTAATGGCATGAGATTCCCTGGGGATGGGAAAGGCTACTGTCAGAGTACAGGCCCCTTTCCTTCTCTGAATAAATCCCTGCCGGGGCTGGGGTTTAGTGAGGGGAGGACAAACCTCCTGGAGGCTAGATTTGGAGGGCTGATGACCACTTACCTTTGTTGTGCCTGTGGGCATTATTCTGGGAGTCGGGGGGGTCCCTGGGTGCCTGAACAGTAGGCAAATCCTCTAACTTCAGAGAGTCCTCTTTTCCTGGTTCAGTCTTCATTCCAGATGGATCCTCCTCTCCAGGTGGGTCCTCCTCTCCTGGTGGGTCCTCTTCACTGGGTAGGTTTTCCTCATCCAGCTGATCATCTTCCCCAGATGAATCTCCTCCCAGCCCGGCCGACCCCTGCATCCGGGACAGGCTCTGGGGATGGGCAGGCACCAGGAGCAGCAGTACCAGCAGCAGCTGCACGGCAGGGCCCGGAGAAGGGGCTGGGATCGACAGAGGGAGCCGGGGACTGGGGCACAGGGGAGCCATGTGGCTGACTGCGGGGTGTCCCAGACACGGTGTGTACGGGCTGTACGTGCATCGGAAACAGGAGCTGGGTGGGGAGGAGCAAGCCTGGAGGGGAGCAGGCTGACTCACAGAGGGCCCTTTTGTAGAGATGGAGCCAAAGTCCTGTGGGTCTGCCTGGCCCTGTGCCCCTTCCCCGATACCAAAGCCTGGATGGGGGTGGTGTGAGAGGCAGGTGTGTGCACAGGCAGGAGGTTATCGGGGTCACAGGCTCAGCCTGGAACCCAAGGCACCACCTGGCACTACACAGGCTCTCCCTGGCACTGCCCAGCTGCTCACCAGCCAGCCTCAGCTAACCCTGGCCTGCTTCCCAGCCCCAGGAAGAGAAGGGGAAAGACAGGGAGTTGGGGGCCCCACAGCCTCTGGCTGAGAGGGGAAGCAGCCCATGGATATATCCCTGGCCTAGCCAGGGAGCAGATAAAGGGGTAGGACAAGCTGTTGGGGAAGCCTGGGAGTGGGTGGACAGAGAGATAGGTGGGAGGTGAATCTGAGTATAAATGAAAAACTGAGTATATGTAAGAGAGGGACTGTGATGGCTTTAAACTAAATTTATTTTTCACATTACACCTCTGCTCAAAAACCTTCATTGGCTTCCATCTGCCCATCTTCTTCCTGCAGTTGACTTTCAAGCCCTTCAAAATCTTACCCAAGAAACCGTTCCATTTTATCTCCTACTATTCTCCCTCATACTCCAGCCAAATTAAACTATTCATTTTTCCCCCCAGACCTTTGACCACCTTTGTTCATCTAGTTCTCACTGCTGGGAATACCACTCACTCTTATATTTAACAAATATTTATTTAGCATCTACTATGTCCAGCACTGGGCTATGGGCTAAAGGTACAGAAATGAATAAGACACAGTCCCTGTCCTAAGGAGCTTACTGTCTAGTGAGTGAGGGCAAACACTATCACAATATTCAGTGGAGAGAGATTAATTCTGCCTCAGAAAGTAATACAGAAATAGGCAAAATCTGATCGGGACTTTGAAGAAGTAGCAATTCAATTGCTAATAACACTGGGAAGAATGGTATTTTGTGCAGAGGAAAGGCATCAAATATCTTGTGCAGGAGAATGACAGAATCCAATTCTCATATTAGGTTGTAATGAGGGCTGGTGTGGAGCATGGATTTGAGGGGGAGAGCACGTGCAAGGAGATGAAGAGTGAAAGGACCCCAAGAATGGACTTTGGGTTCCCAGTATGCCTATTCATTTGAGAAACATTTATTGAGCCTCCTCCAATCCTCCAGGTACTGTTCTAAGCCCTAGGGATGCAGCACTGAACTAGAGACCTGCCTCTGCTGTTCTGTAGCTCACATTCTAGTAAGGTCCCTATGGCTCCAACAAACCAAAAGAGAATAAGGCCATCTCAGGAAGTTCCTATCTGGGGCTCACATTCAGTAGATATGCACCAGTACGGTTGTATGGATTAGAGAAATTTGTTGAAGTATTTCTAATCCTATCGAGAACTAGTCCCTAGCTTCAGGGTGCTCCGGCTACCTCCCTCCTCTCTGGGGACTGTACTGATCTCTTATCTAAAGAGGTAATGCCGGGCGCCTGGGTGGCTCAGATGGTTAAGCGTCTGCCTTCGGCTCAGGTCATGATCTCAGGGTCCTGGGATCGAGTCCCGCATCAGGCTTCCTG